GATGCGATGGGGGGGGCAGTTGAGGGGTTGAAGAGGGGGGATCTTTATCCAAAAAAAAGAAGAAAAAAAAGGTAGAAGTAGGCGAGAGAGATAGAGTCTGTGAGGTGTGAAATACGATTGGTTTTTTATCCGACAGCGCAGCGTTAAAGAAAAAGGAAGCTGTCCGGAGCGGGACACCAAAAAAAAAGAGAGAGAGAGAGAAAAATAGGGGTTAAATAAAAAAGGAGTAAGAGAAAATGGTTGGGGGGGGGGTGGTCAAGCTCTGCAGATTTACAGTGAAGTGCACAGTGACACCTGGTTCAAACGATAACTAGTGCCTCAATAATCCTAATGAGAGGAACTAGCGCCTCCACATAGACTCCAGAAAGCTAGGCTTGAGCTCCACGCTGGGCTGGGAGAGGAAAGTTAGAGGGAGAAAAGAAAGGATGAAGGGTGGGGAAAGCGCGGCCAGGCCGAGGAGCCGCTCAGACCGCCTCGCAGTGCTATGCTAAAACCCTCAGATGAGTTGGTGGAAGACTGGGGCACTTTGCAGGTACGCTTCCCTTTTACGCATACTCGTTTCACAGGCTTTTCTGAAGGTTTGGAAGTCTCCAGTAGAGGCAGACGATCTGTTCCTGCATGAAAACACACATGCTTGGTTGTTCAGTTGAGCCACCGAGGGTTGGAAAGAACGGAGCAATGGGTAGCATGTATTATTTATTTGGCGGTTTGTGCCTGTCAGTGTGATTAGTATGTGTGTAATCACTGTTCTTCTGGGGAAAAGGCTGAAGGCTGCTGGGCCTCATCTGAAGGTAATCGCACTGTCTTCTGAGCCTCATCTCCAGCAGCTCACTTCCTGCCCAGCATCTGCTTTTGTCATCTCCACATTTTTCTCTTGCTTTTTTTCTCCCTCTCCCTAGCCATGTACTGTATCTGTCTGTGCCTTTCTAACCCTCCTTCCAGCCATTACATGTGTATGTGTGTATGTGTGTGTGTGTGTGTGTGTGTGTGTGTGTGTGCCTTGCTTCTTCCCAGCTTGTATAGGGTGACACCTATAGGTCTGTCTAAGCCCCTACACCCTGCAGAAGGGAATACATAGAGCTAGTGTGTGAGTGTGTGTGGGGGTGCATGTGCTTGAGGGCTGAGAATATTCTTCTCCTGCCTCCATCCACTCCTCATGCTAACCCATCCTGCACAGGTTTCTTAGTCTGTAGGGACTGTCTGAATTTTATGTCCTCTGTGCAAAATTACACTATGTTTTCATGATTATCTGCTGAAATGCTGTGGGAAATGTTTTATCCCTTTGCCGAACAGCAAACAGTGAAATTTCTTCCACTGGGTTCATTCAACTTGCATGATTAGATTAAAGCTAAAAGTTTTACATCGTTGCATGAGGAGGGTTAATGAGGATGATTAATTAGAAAAGCTAACCTTCAGGCTATTGTCCTTTTACGTTTTTTTCTTTTTTCAGAATTTGGGCTAGAGAATGGACACGCTTGCCATAGCTCTGAGTGTTTCCTCCCAATCTATTTCCAGTTCTAATCTGTGACTGCATGTGGGCGCGTCCCTCCGTTTCGCAGCCTTACTCTAAGGCCACTTGTGACCTTTCATTAATTATGGCTGGCCCGGGTTTAATCATTGTGTGGTACGGTGGCAGATGAGATGAGGGATAGGCACAGCCATTTGCCACTTAAAGATGTAGTGCGCGGCTGGAATTAAATGTCTACATTTCTGCATATATTATGGGGGTTTAGCGGGTGAGGTGCGGCGGGAGAGTGTCATATATCTTGATTAAAAAACTAAATGAAGAAGTGGTGTGGAGGGTGGGGAGAGGGAGAGGGCGAAAAAAAGAGAGAGCGGGAGAGAAAGAGCAGGGCGCCCCAATAGAGACCGGTCTGGGGAAGGTTAAGGTGACAGCTGCTGTGTTCAGCGTGAGCTTTAATGAACTTGAATGTCAGAAAACCTCGTATCTTCGAAATGGAAACTGTACAGAACAAGGAAAAGAAACTTTCTTAATTTTAACGTAAGAGCATTTTATTCCAAGTAATTTTGGACCATTTCTGGTGGTCCATTCGTCATGAGATGGCCACATACTGTAAAGGACAGCTAACATTTTCAGAAGAGGCTTAGACAACACGTGCAGCTAATCCAGAGGTGTAAAACATGCTGTAGAATCACTGTGTAATCTGGGTGCTTCTCCTTCTGTGGTGTATTCTAATGCTGCACCCAGCTGAGGTGGATTTCTGCAGGTGCTGGTTAGCTTGGGCTTGTGCTAAAGCTAGCTCATTGCTTCCCCATGGCTTAGACCCTCCTCGCCAGCCGAGGACAGCCAGCGTAGAGTGGAAATCACCAGTTGCCTTGGAAACATAATAGAAACATGCACATTTATGAAAGAATAAAGGCCATATATATAGCATAAGCTATTGGGATCTGGGGAACACTTAAACAGGCGCTTTTACTGGAGAGCCAGTCATTCCACTTAAATACTTTCGTTTAAACACAGGATCAGTCCGCCCCGAGCAGTAAGGCCTAACAATGTAATCCATACCAGCATCATTTGCTGAGCTGAAGGTGCTTCTTCCACACAGAACACGAGAAGAGCAGGAGGAGAAGAATATCGAGCCCAACTTTGCTTGCGCTGCCCAGCTGTTAGCTATTGTTTTAGAACAGCAGAGATCGACTTCGAAACAAGAGTGGGCAACAGCGTTTATTGACCGCTGTGGATCTGTTTAGTGACTGCCGTCCAGTAGTGTAGAAACACGTAGGCCGGTGCGCTCAGGAACGAGTTCGTTTCACACCTCTGCCGGAAAAAGAAGGATGGTCTAGTTAACGTTGAGGAAGGGATGCAGTGTTGGGAGTGAAGCACGGGCAATCGCGCACCCTTGTAGCCTGAGGATGGCTCGCTCTTTGTTGTAGCATTAGTCTTATCATCTTTAATTACTCTTTCGCCTAGAAGAAATGCTCCAGTTTAAAAAGCACACTGATTGTGAGCTTTGGGAAGCGATTGCCCCAGCCATTCTCGCCTGGCGCGTCAGTAATTTAAACAGCTGAACAAAACGCAGATTAGCACTTTTTTATGGCGATTCCACACAAAGCCATGCAGATGCTAAGGCTTGCTTTGCTCCAAACAAGCTGATAGCACAATGGATGGTTGTCAGTTGAAGCCATGCGACTGAAAGCTTTTTCAGGAAACCAAGTGTTTTTTTTAGTGCACCTTTATTTTTAATGTACATGCACAAATGTAGAACAATTCAAGGAGATGGAAATACTGGATAAAGTTGATGTTATTAGCTACTCACAGTAAGAGATTTGTGGCCAGAACCCTCCATTGCTTGTTCTCGCAAGGAAAAAAAGGTGTTTGATTTTGGCCTCTAACGGTTGTAGAAGCCATATCCAGATGAAGCACAGGAATATAAAGTTTAATGGCTTTATATGGTGGCTTTTTGAGCTGAGGCTTGGGACTCAGGTTGCACGTTCAGTCTTTAAGTGGCTGGAACATTATTGGACGGTAAAAACTGTTTTAAGTTTTGGGGTTTGAGTGCAGCGATGGAGCGGTGATCTCACATAGCCTTTGTGCCGGCTGCGCTAACCACAGGGGATGAATATTTGAGCAGGAGATTTCAGTAGCCGTTGTTGCCCTGTCGATATATCAATAGCCCACCTGATAGAGTGGAGAGAGCAGGGGGGCATTTTCAAAAGAACATTTTAAGTACATTTGCTGAGAATTAGCTGACTTGTGTAATAACTGATAAGGTGTATTGACTGGCCCAGACTTTAGTGTTGTCAAATCAATGGCGGTAGTGCGCTCGCCACACTACTTTTAAACAAACACAGCCCAGGAAAGGGGGCGCTGGGGGGGCACGGGGGAGGAATAAAAAAAGATTGATGCCCATTTTATTATCTGTTTTTCAGCATCTTCTCTCTTACTTACACATGGCATTATTGGAGATCCATTGTTGGGAGTTCGCTGCTTTTAAATGGCCTGATATATTGAACACAGGGCTTTTAAGATGGTTACAGGGGATTTCTGCATTTGACTTGGCAAAACAGAATGAATTGTGGGTTCTGTTTTAAATATTATGTGTGTGTGTGTATCAGAACAAAACCTTGTATCTCCATTTTTGTCATTTTTCAGTCTTTGACATAATTTGAAAATGCCTGTTGTTGTTTACATTGTGTGTAAATCTCATGCTGAATGGACCAAAAGAAACGGCCCAAAATGGCTTGGAAAAAATTCTGGTTCCATTGACTTACATTAAAAGTAAAGTATGTTTTTTCCTTCTCCTGTAAAGTTACCATTTTGGAGATACAATGTTTTGTTCCGACAACAGCGTATATATATATATATATATATATAGCATTAGATACTTAGCATAGAAATGAACTGGTGAGGATCCTGGTAGGCAGCAGTTTGAGACTGCAGTTATGATCATGGCGAGAGGTACTAGAGAGAGAGAGAGAAACCCTCCCCTGCTGAAACTCGCTCTCACACAGTTACTTTTCCTGTCTGCATACTTGGGACCGCTTTGGAAAATGTGTGTATGTCTCTACCACATGTGTGCGGTTTTTCTGCAGTTTTATGTACGTATTAAACAGAGGAAGCCATAAAGATATTTGTGTCATGGTCCTGCATAAATGAAGAATTATAACCCTGGAGTTGAGGGTCATTTAAAAAAAAAGGCAGCAATAAAAATAATAGCAGTAACTATGGCTATAATTACAAAAACAACAAAATAATCAAGTTAGGCTTTAATTAGAAAAAGAAAAACAAAATACAGATGCATTTTTCTAATGCAGCAGTAAAAAAAAATAATCAAATGCAATTAAAAGCCTGGATGTTAATTATGCAGCGTGGGTGGGGACAAAGCTGAGCCCACCCTCTTTGTCTCATAGCCTCGCGAACGGTGAGTGTAATTGTCTTACGCTCCTATAGAAAAAAAACGGCGCCGTCCCTTTAAGTGCTTCCACCAATTCTGATGGAGGGCTGATTTACATATCCCCATCCTCTCCTCCCCCTTCAGGAGAGCTGAGTGAGGATGTGGAGGCTGCCAGCGAGACCACCACAGACCAGGAGGACCAAACCAAAGACAGAGAGAGTGGGGGGGAGAAGGAGCTCACCAAAGGCACAGGTAAGGCCTCGCTTTGCAGCTCAGTTGAATGGCTGAGGGGGATGGAGGCGGGGAGGAGGGGAGTTTTTCGGGGGGAGATGGTGTGGGGGAGAGTCATATAAGAGGGGGAGGGGCTAAGGTGTTTATTCTTCTTGAATACTGAAGAACCATTTTTATTCCTGGCCTCCGCTCTTGTGCGTTTCTGCTCATTAACTAATTGCACCTTTTTGCCAGCAAGTATTTCAGAGCTCTTTAACTAAATGTGGCTCTGCTTTTTTTCCAGCCTCCCAGAATCAAACTTTTAACTTAGGTTTTTCAGTTTCTCACTGTGGAGGATCTTAGTTTCCCTGGAATTGCCTGATAAATTAGCCCTGATTTGGTTAATCGGATCAAGTGACAAAAAACACTAGTTGGGGCTCCGCAGGGCCAGTGGGCAGAGTTACAGCACTGCCATGTGTCTTAGCACATGTGACCATGCCTCCCCACCCCCCACACGCACACTGAAGAATGCTATCAGATAGGGCTATTTTTCAAGCAGAGGAGGTGGGGAGTAGGGGGGTGGCAGGTGCAGGTGTTAGGTTGCAGTGAGAGGTGTGGTTACAGGGTGAAGGGGTAAATCAGGCAGTAAATCTGTTTTTGCCCTGTTTGCGGTCACAGAGCTGGAGGGAGGTCTGGGGTCTGTGTGGAGCCACAGAGGGTGGCTGGGCCTGAATCTTAGGGCCTGGGGTCTGGGGTCTGGGCCCTGAACCTGAACCTGGGCTGCAGGCAAAGGCCTGTAGAGGTGGGAACTCAGCTCAGTGGTGCTTTGCTCTCAATCTCCTGCCATGCTGCTGATGTGCACTGATGGCAGTGAGGGCCTGGAGCATGTAGGCTGATACAAGAGAGCACATCTGATAGCCAGTCTTTGCTCTTTTTTGCCCATGTGGTTTACGGTAGCAGGACTGTAGGCTTCATAGAAATTGTATGAACACATTTCTAATCAATCTAATATAACAGATAGCAAATGCAAATGAATTTGTTACCAAAATAAACACAGTTTATTTAATGTTGACATATTTTTCTGAACCATGTTGGTACATTCTTTGGAGTGTATTTTCAATGCCAATAGTTTATCATAATATGATTATAACAATGTAATAAGATAGTAATGTATTGATAATAACGCACATATAATGCATATGATGTTTTTATGTTAACAGCCATAAATTGACTGTATTATTAGTTTTCCACAACAACAAGGCATGTTTTTTTATTGCATTTCTGCTTTTTTTTTAAATGCTAAGAAAAGTCTTCCTCAAGAAAGCTTTCAAAAGATTATATTCTAGGCCAGTGAGTGAAGAGTGAAGTCTGATAAGTGAAGAGTAAAGTCTTATGAACAATAGTGTCCCTTCTTTCTGTATCACTATGACATCTCAGTATCATTTTCATATATTTTTGACTTTGTTGCATCAGCTGTGATTCCGCGCAGGTACACTGTATGCTAGCTGCTGAAGCCTCTGTATACCTAAGTTAGATATACTCTCGTAAGTAGGATAGCTAACTCCCACGGCGGAAAGCCGAGCAGCAAAGAAACGCTCTGCACGTGCATAGAGTTGTTTGATTTTTCAAGCCCCACTAAAGCGCAGCAGACACTGAGGACATGTATCGTGCAGAAACAGGAAAGCGGCTGTTTTAACTGCTCTCCACCCAACAAGCTCCAGCAGACAGCTTCATTCCCTGTAATCTGTTCCTACACCAAAGCCATTGGTTGGGAAGAAAATTAGAAAAGATACAATCCAGACCTTTTGCATGGGCTTCGTTTCTTAATTCCGAAAGTACAGCGCAAAAACGGAAACTAAAAAAAAAAGAAGAAAAAAAAAAGAAAAAAGTTCATTGCCATGTTTGAAGCCAAATCTTTGTAAAATGTCTTTGATATTCCAACTTTTATTTTAAATGAGGCTGAGTTGTTTGTGCGCTTTGAACGGGTGGCACTCCTCCTTTGATGGGGGGAAATAATGATATGCATGCCTGCCCGAAAATGGCTAAAAGTATATTTTAACACATCAAAATAAAGCACTTTAAAAAGCATTAAAATGAGCTGCACGATTAATAATTCAATCATACCTGTGGTGCAGAGGAAGACGACTCTTCACATTAGGATCCCTGCGTCTGTCTCTGAAAGGCATGCAATTTGATACAAGAATATTCAATTCCTTTTTCCTCCCCCCTGTCAGTCGCTAATCACCAAATAAGTGTGTTTCTGTGTTTCCACAAAAGAAAGATATGCTTGCGTATGAAAAATTCACAGGCTTCCCAGCAGCTTATTAGAAACACTTAGTTAAAAATAGCATGTGCATTAGGGAGCCAGGTCTAGGGTGCTGTTTGATGTCTGAAGAAAGGTGGAAGGGGGTAGGAAGAGGAAGATGGGGGGGAGTGGAGTGGAGGTGAGAAACCTGACTGCATTGTGATCTCACATACCGGTACTGTTTAATGGAAGCCTGGTGTATTTCCCCCCTTCGTTTGTCTATTTATAGTCTGTTTTTTATGATTGACGGACAGTGCGGTCTGCGAGAAGCGGCGAGGAAGGGCTTCTTTAACCCCCCCTCCCCGGCCGGTGCGAGGAGAGCAGGAAGACCAGGGGAATGCGTCCAGTAAACAGAGGCGCTCTTGTTTTGGCTGGAGCCACGTCTGAGAATGCGCCGGGCAGAAAAGTCTGCGCTCGGACTGCGCTGCATTACAGACGGGGCTAACCTGTTATTTAGGGCTGATTTTTGAGCTGCCGCGTCTGAAGCGCACTGTCATTAAGGTCTGTCGTTAAGATTATTGAAGTTTTTTTTTTCTTTTTTTCTTCCTCTCCTTCTTTGTGGAGCGCAAAAAATGCACCGCAACCTGGCTGTTGAAACACAGGGCTGCTTTGCGAATGACAGTCGCTGTCAGGTAGAGAGCATTAGCATTAGGCGGCCCGGGTGGGGTGGGGTGGGTTGGGAGGGGGGGTAGGAGGAGTAGGTAAGGAAAAAAAGAAAAAGAAAAGCGACGTCTTCCTATTTAAAGCTACTGTCAATCTGATAGCTCTCTTTTTTATCTGACAGTGCTCCTCACAATTCATTAAAGGCATTTAGAAAGACATGAGAGAGTCTGTGTAGAATGTGCATGTGTTAAGCGTGTCATCTGCTAAGAGACTGCGTTTGTTTGTCTTCAAACACACCAGACACTTTGGAGCGCACACATAGAGAGGGGAAGAAGGAGGGGAAAAAAAGACAGAGAGGGGCTTTGTAATTATTTGCTGTTAGAGAGTACGACAGACAGACAGACAGACAGAGGGAAAGACACTAGATTAAGCTGGTGCGTTGAAATCATGACTTATTTAAGCAATAAATATAGTGTTGGCAGATGTTGCAATTCAGCCACCTTCAGGATAAGCATTCCAGGGATAGTGTCTAGTGCTATTTATGAAATATTTATAAAAGGCCAAGCCCAGGCCTGCACCACTGCCCCCCCCCCACACACACACCCTTCACCTAGCCCGCACAGCATTAGTAAAATGGAGGGGTGCCTTTATTAAAGCCAAACCTGGGAAAGGAAAGAAGGGTGTGAGCAAGGTGGGGCGGATAAAGATGAGTGTGATTGTTAATACGCTTAAGGCCGAGGAGGAGCTGCCACAGTGAGATGTGACATGTTTAACATAAATGTATAGAGAGGGCTGCTATTGAGGTGCTGCTATATAGGGGGGAAATATTGAGGTGCTGGTTGGGGGGGGTGTTGCAGTCCTCAGCAATAGAGGTTTATGAATAATTCCTCTCTTCCCAACCACCCCCCCCCCTCCACTTTCGTCCCTGACTTTCAAATTACAAGAGCTGGAGCACGAGAGGAAAAATAATATTACAGCGCAGGTCATCCGCATTCTGACACCCGCCGCAGCAGCCGGCCAAATTGGTCCCATCTCTTTTCTCTTATATATTTACTTAAATGTATGAATCCCTGTGATTGGATACACCAGGGACTGTGCATGTGTGCGAGCAAGCGAGAGAGAGAGAGAGAGAGAAAGAGAGAGTGTGTAGGACAAGAGAAAGAAAGGGGTAGAGAAAGGGTAAATACATGGGCTGCTTCACTGATTCCACTTGTGTACATTAGCACCCCCTGGACGTAGAGGGCCAGTACTGCATGCTCTGCTTTATCAAATTCATTTCACAGCTCTGATGCCCATCACTAGATTTTATAGGCACTATTGTGTGGATGTGTGAGATCAAGTAGTGGTGAGTTATAATCCTAGTAAATGTGCTTGCTGTCAAAGTAGTCACTTGACTACATCACTATGGCTTTGTAAATTGCTAATATAAAGAGGGAGCCTGTCAATTCGGTTATTGTCTTTATATGCCATCTTTCTGGAAGTGCTTTACGTTTCATTTATATGTGAAGTATATCTGATTTTACTATTAGAACTCTTTCATTAGTGTATACAACAGTGTTGTGTACAAAAGGCTGCATTTGCACTTGCACATCAAGCTTGTTGTCCATCAAATTGAAAATATATTTGTCTTTGAGTCTAATAGAGCGTAAAGTGTTGCTGAGCCTTTCTGAGCATTCTAACGGGAAAACCACACCGTCCTCCAAAGGTGAAGTCACTTTTAAGCCTTGGCAGAGACCTCAGCAGATTAATAACGCATCTGCTAATTAATATCGCCTTTTAATTCCTTTATTTTAAATTTGACTTTGTAGCAGTCGTGCCTGTGGGCCTGTACAAGCTGTTCTCTTACCAAGCCATGGAGGTGGTTCTTTCATTTAATAGAGGCTTATACACCAAGGATAGCACGCTATGATGAGCCTCAGTGTGGAGTTGCTTTGGCATTAGGCTTTGGTTGTAATTTTCTTTATTTGAAATTAATTGATGCAGAGTAATTACCTGAGAAATATGAGGTGAAATGGAATATAGCCCTCTGTCGCTCAGGGCACCAGAGCGGCCTGTAGATTAAAAAGACGAGGGAGAGAAAAGAGAGGGAGGGTCGGTGGAGAGTGAGATAATATTCTTTTTTTTTTTGTCAGCA